CACTCTTTCGTTCCTCAAGAGGCAGCGCAAGGGCCTCTGAACTACCTGGGGTTTGCCAACAGACAAGGACCCAGGCTCCCCCTCCAGCCTTAGGGAGCCTGAGTTCTGCCTGCAACCCAGAACCCGGAACCGAAGCTCCAGGTCGCTGAGTACTGGCCAGATAACTCCAGCTTCTGAAACTACAATTCGTTTCAGTTCACAGCGGAGGTCCCTGTCCCCATCATTAGAATATAGCCTCATGTCCCAGAATCCCAGCCAGCCAATTAAAACCTCAACCCGGATCTGGATTGCCAGTCTTTAAATGTCCAGCCCCTGGAAACTCAGGCTCCTCATAACAGAGGCCCTGACTCTACGCCTGATTGTGGTGTTGCTCTTGGCTGCTAACAGTTCATGGGGGCTGAGATTTCACCAGTAACCAAAGGAGCACAAGTCCTGCCTTCAGCCGGAGAACCTGGGACCCTATTCAGCCAGGAGGAGTACATTTCTACACTTCAGAATTCCATCCCTTGGAAATCCAAGCCCCTTGTCCCAGAGAACTTAAGTCCTACTTCCAGAATTTGCAAGTCCGTAGTCTCTCCCTTGCCCACAAGTCCGGGACTTGAAACTATCCCTGGTCTTTGTGAACCCTGAGCCCTGTCCCCTTCCTGACCAAACTGGCCCTAGATCAGAGCACCTCTCTTCTGACCCTCTGGGAACATCTCCAAGGTCTCGCCCATCTCAGGGGATCCAGGAGGAAGTCTGCAGGGGGTTGGGAGTGGGTGAGGGGAGCCTGATCTCTTCCTGTTTTGTACATAGATTTATTTTTCAGTTCCAAGGAAGATGAATACATTTTGTAAAAAAAAAAAAAAAAGACAACCGCGTGTCTGTATTTCACCTGGGAAGGGAAATTGGGGAATAGGATGGAGGGTGGAACAAGCCCTCTTTCCTCTGCCTTCTGGCTCTCTGGACTTGGAGCTCCGCACCTGTAGAGCCAGAAACTGGGCAGCTGACGGAAGGACCTAAGCCCCGCCTCGGCCCCGGGGCTTCCCCGCGCCGCCCAGGGTTTGTCCCGCGGGCGCCTCCTCCCGGCCAGGCGGCGGGGCATCCCCGGCCTGGTCCCGCCCCTGCGGCCTCCGAGCCACCGG